GGACGCCTGGGGCAGAGCAGCTGGGGTGCTGCTGGGTTGCTCCAGTAGCGCCGCTCCTCGGCACTACTGGAGCAACCCAGCAGCACCCCAGCTGCTCTGCCCCAGGCGTCCTGATTCAGATAGCTACACCCCCCCCCCAGCAGACCAGGGAGATGTGGAGCAAAGCCGCGGAAGACGCCTGCAGCAGGACAGCCCAGACGCGCCGCGGCTGTCCCGCTGCGGGCGGCCTCCGAGGCTTTGCTCCACGTCTCCCTGGTCTGACCAGCAGACCAGGGAGACGTGGAGCAGCTTTTCTCACCCCGGAGGACGCAGGCGGCGGGACCGCGGCTCATCTGGGCGTCCCGCCGCTCCCGTCCTCCAGGGCGAGAAAAGCCCTGTTCGTAACTGCAGATCCGACATAAGTCGGATCCGCGTAACTCAGGAACTGCCTGAACTTGGACAGCATCCAACATTTTACCATTAGCCAAGATATGAAGTTTGGTAGTATACATGCAAATCAGAAGTAAATGTGTTCTAAAGAAGCTGAAGACTTGGGGAAAAAATAAAGAAAATCAATGTGTTAGACATGTGTCTCTGGAATACAGTTTGACTTTATGGTGCAACTGTTACGAAATAAAGCATAAATGATCCCCTTTAACAACTGTTACCAGAATGAGTATAAGAAGATCTAAAATATTATTTTCATCGCTAGCAGTAGAAGGAGTTTAGCGGGAGCCCAGAGCATCACTTTATTAGTATGAAAACTAGTGAAATTGGATCAGCTAGAATGACAGTGACATATTATAGGGGCTCATCGATCAGATCCTCAGCTGGTTTGAATCTTTAAAGTGCTGTTAACTTCAGTGAAATATACTGATTTACACAAGATGAGTCTTTCTTTTAGAAATAATGTTGAGCCCTAAGAAAACAAGTAGTTCAAAAAACATCCTAGGGTGATTTAGAGAACCAGCAGATAGCATTTATGAGCAATTTAAGTTTTATATAAGCATTGTGTTGGCCTGCAGTATGGGATGAATAGCTTCTGTGCAAGATCACACAAACTTTGCATCAAAAAGACTTTGTTTCTGCCTACAAATAATAGCTTCCCTACTTACATTTTCAGGAAATGTGGAAATTACACAGACATAAAATATCTAAAAATGCCAAATCAGACCACACTATTTTTTGTAATGTAATCTCTGAGAGGAAGATTCCAGTTTTCAATAAAAAGATGTTCTAGTTTTGGATGATTAGTTGCAGTTAAAGATACATTCATGGGGATAGAAAGTGTCAGCTACACTAAAGTGAGGATTCATGTTGCGTCCTATAGGAACACATGTCCTTATATAACTTCACTTTCCAAGACTAGAATAAGTACAAGAAATTTTGCATTCTTATTGTGATGCTTTCTTCAGTTCTGGTAGGCAGTATTATAGCTATTCTGTTTACAAATGGAAAACTTGTTTTTTTTGAGATAGCTTTACAGTATAATCTATCAGTGATGCGGCTGAGAGAACTTGTGATCAAGATTCTCTTTGTGGGACAAACAGTTGCTAAAAATCGATTGACTCCACAGTCTGTTCAGTATTTGGCTTGTTGTAAAACAATAGTCTGAAAATTTGAGTGATCTGTTTTATAAAACTAGGTAAAAATACACCAGATCTTTAAAACCTAACATGTATATTAAGCTCATACTGCGGAACCTAGTCTTGTGAAAACTATCAAGTTCTTCAGTTTGCCTAAAATATCATATCTTATTAGGAGGTGTTTATTGTTCTGTGGAATGCTAACTGTACTCTCCTGATTGCAGGCAGGTCACTTGTAACTGACCTGGATATAGGGAAAATGGGAGTAACCTTAGAGAGAGGATATATGGGGAAGGCAAAGTAGCCCTAAGGTAGAAACCCTAGGAGCAATGAAACCCAGGCAGAAGGTCTGAAATGAATTTTTTGTTGTTAATTTCAGTGTTAATAAAAACTAAATCCAGGAAGGGTGAATTGTTGACTCTATGACATGTATGATATTTATTTTAGAATAGTTTTTAAAGCACCTGCTCACAGAATTACTGCTGATTTACCACAAATTTATGATTTGCCTGAGGTGAGCTCTCACATACTCCAAGTCTCTTGAGAACTGAGAGTAAACCAAACACACCTCTCCGTTTTCAAGTAAAGGACTATGTTTACAATAATTAGATAATGAAATAAATATTTTTGTGTCAAGTAACAAATAGTGAACTACTAGAATCTTATAACAAATGTGATGGGGGGCAGGTCATTTTCATGTTTACCCTTGGCAATCCACTTACTGGTTTAAAGTTTAAGTGTTTAGGGAAATTAAGTCTGTGCAGATGTAGTCAACATTCCAATTTCAGAAAAATACACAGGGCCTATTTTACTTGATGGAGTTCAGGATATTGCACAGTAGGCTATTACAGAGTAGTGAGATGGGTATTCATACTTTCTTGTACAAATGGCCTTTGACAGATTCAGTTACAGGCTTACATACTAGCATTAATGGCTGTTTGTTGTCAGAGAATTAGGAGCCACAGGAACAATCCCCCACGGACATCTCATCCTTCTCTCCTGACAATGCTGTCTTTCCTGGGGACATGTCTCCTGCTGACGATGTCTGTCAGTTTCAGGAGCTGTTCAAAAGAGTTGCCAATAGCCAGCAGGTGCAACTATCTGAGGTCCAGCAAAAGCAGCACCGCTTGTTGAGAAACTTGCAGCTTCCCCAAAGATCGAAGGTTGCCCTCCCTCTTGACAAGGCCATCTTAGAAATAGCGGACGATATATGGCAGACACCAGCCTCAACCCTTGCTACAAATAAAAAAGTGGATAAGAAGTATTTTGTTCCTGCAAAAGGCATGGAGTTCCTTTTTACTCACCCACAACCGAACTCCTTGGTCGTGGATGCAGCACAGCACAGGGCTAAAGCCCCTCAGTTTAAAATGAGCAACACGGACAAAGACAGTGAACACTTGGACCTCTTTGGACGCAAGATCTACTCATCTGCCCCACTAACCTTAAGAATGGCCAACTATGCTGTGCTCTTGGCCAATCACAATGTCAATAACTTCGAAATTGGTCCCACTGT